CTGGGGTTCTGGATCAGAAAGATATTGTCGGACGGCTTGAGTGGTGTTGCCCCAAGCTTAATTTACATCATCCGCAAAAGCCCCCGTCCAGCACCAGCACCTCCAGGGAGCGTTGCCATAGCACAGGTTCCTTGGATTGGTCAGAATGCTGGTGAGGCATTGAGAGATCACAAAAATGTTTGCCGCAGTGTGTTCCACTTTTTTCGGGTACACTGAGGTGGCGGTGGATGAGGTTTTGCATCCTTTTCAAATCCGCCAGAAGTTGCTGCCCTCCATGAATGGTTGGACCGCTGCCGTAGTGTTGGCAGGACGCCAACAAGTCCTTGCTGCAGAGATCGAACAGTGTCTGCTGCTCAAAGGAGAGAGACGAGTCTGTCTCGGCCTCCATGTTGAGGAGGTTTGCCAGAGAGTGCACAGCCAAGGTCCCGAAAGAAACAGACCCCCGAGGGGGCTGTTCTGAGGTAGAGGAACTCGGTGCCTCGACTGTGCCTCTGGCCTGTGTCTCAGAGGGAGGAAGAGCCCCTCCGTAGACCTTGAGCTTCGTCAAGGAATGCCGGTACGGCCCATAGCCCGTGCCCGAAGAAGGTAGGCCCTCGCTTGAGCCTGAAAGCAAAAGATCAACTGAAGATGCAATACCCCTGCATGCCAGTTGAGGTTGACCCATGTCATGATCAAGAGAGCATGACGTTAGTCCCCGTTCAAAAACCGAAAGCATTTGTGTGGAGGATGCCTGAAGGCTACCCACACGACGCTGCATTGCCAAGCTCAGTCTTGCGGCGTTTGGCCTCTTCATCAGTGACTTCAGCATCAACCGAAGAACGTTTGAGCATGACGTTCAACTGCTCTTTTTGTTCCTGGGTCAAGCTGACACCTAAATTGTTGATGAAGCCAGCAACTGCAGCCGGCACGGAATCTGCCATCTCAGTTTCGAGAGGTTGAAGAGGCTTTTCAGCCTGAATAGCACTGACCTTGGTGAGGTAGGCCGTGCTGATGGTGTTCAAGGATGCCTGTTCCTGCTCAAGTCTGCTTTGCAGAGTCTTCATTTCATCTAGGAGCTCTTGGTAGTGCTTCTTGGTGTTGTCGATCTTCTGCTGGAGAAGTTGCTTCCGTTGTGAGATGTCACGAAGCGTGGAGACTTGCTGTTTGAGTCGGGTCGCCATGTCCTTTTCCGTCTCTGGCTGGGGCTTGGTGATCTTCTCAACCAGTTCTTTGACCGGGGCCGGAAGGCTGGCCAGGTTCTCCTTGAGGACATCAGTCAAGTCGGGTTCACTGACCTTGGGTGACGGGTTGATGCCGACCTCGGTGAGCTTCAGCTTCAAAGACTCATCCAGAGAGCCCCAGGCCGGGGCCAGGATCTCCGAGGCTGTCTTCTGTAATTTGGATGGTCGGGGAGGCCGTCCTGCAGGTAGCCCAGGTGGAGGCGACACAGTCCGAGGCTTTGGCTTGTGCCAGCCCTTGGGTGTTCTGTCCCCCCCTTTGGCATAGCCTTGGAGTGGCTTTTTCCAAGGTGTCCCGCAGAGCCTGCAGGTGTAGGTGGCCTTGATGCGATCCTCCCAGATCCAATTGTTGCAGCCAGCCTTACTGCAGCATTGGTACGATCTGGTCCATGTCATTCTGTGTGAGCGAATGCCAGGTGACCAGGATCTCGACAAGGGCGGTCTAGAAGGAGGTGCGGAGGGTTGGAGATGTCCCAGTGCCGAAGAGGAGGTCCAGGTCCCGTCGCGAAACTTGAGCAGAAATGGCTTGAGCCATAGTAATATATATATATATTATAAATATATATATATATATACATGTGTTTGAGTCATGAGTCATCAAACCAGTCGTTGGGCTTGGTGAAAACTCTTTTATTTTTGGAAGGAGAGGTGAAGAAGTACTTGTTTTTATTCCCCAACAGCAGAGCTTCGGGGTCTTCAGCCATAGTAAAGAGTTCGGAGCAGATCGGACCAGGCAAGGCAGCTGGTTTCGCAGCAGGTTCTGGAGTAAGTTGCGGAGCAGGTTCTGGGGAGGTTCCGGAGCAAGTGTCCGCAGGAAGTTCGGAGCAGGCTCCGGAGCAAGTTCGGAGCAGAGGTCCAGAGCAAGTTCTTGTGGAGGAGTTTGCAGAGGAGGCTCCAGACCTTCCGGAGCAGGTTTTGGTGGATATTCTGGGGCGACTTCCGGGGCACTTTGCACTTGCGGCTCCGCAGCGCGGGGCGTGATGCTGCAACCCAGATGCGCTGAAGTACGCTGTGTCTCTCTTACGGGCTGAGGTGTTGCCACGCCGTTGCGCTGGCATGACTTGCGGTGTCACGCTGATATGCTTGTAAGGCATCGCGCTGACACGCTGATATGCTGGCAGACTAGGGCGGGCTCCAGAGCAGGGTTGCGGGTGCTGGTTCTTGCTGGTAATGTTCCACATCTGACTAATCAATAGGCCCCCCCCTGAAAGACCTCAAATAGACTTAAACATTGTTTTCAACTGTTTAGTATTGTTTGTATTGGTAGAGATTTTTCCTTTAGTATAAGAATCTATAAAGGAAAGGAATAGAAGAAAGGAATCCATTGAGGACCCATTGATTCAGCAGGAATCCTCACCAGGATCAGCCAGCAGGAATCCTCACCAGGATCAGCCAGCAGAGATCAGAGGACCATCAGTTTGCAGGACCATCAGATTGAGGAGATGCTCTCAATCAGCTCATTCAGGAGAGCATCAGTTTGCTGCCTGCGCTGCGGCTATTGCTGGCTGGGTGGTGGTGGGTGTGGTGGTGCATTAGAATTGCCACTGGGGGATCTTAGCCCTATTCAAGGGGCAGCCTTTATTTGGATAATTTTGGAGAAACCGCTAAGCCAAAAAGCATTAGCAAACCTCACCCATGAACCACAAGCTTTAGCTTTATTCAGGGCACAGGTTCTATTCAGGTGCCAATGACCTTGAATAAAGCTAAGCCCTTGGCCAGGGCAAGGATCAGGAAGAAACAGAAGAAGAAAGAGAAGGTGATCAGCCAGCAGTGGTTGAGGCTTGCATGGGATTGGATCAGGGGGTCCTTAGCTGTATTTAGGGTCAATCATTATTTTGTATTTGGCCATCCATGGGGGGTACCCTTGCTGAACTGTTTTCATAGCTCTGTTCAATATTTTTTAATAATGGATTTTAATAGAAATCAGCCAAGGTTCATTTGGATTTCTTGCTGGTCAACTATTTGAAGAAGAGCTCATCAATTGGAATCAATCTTAGATTTGATTGAAGGCAAGTACAATTAGAACAACAGAGCCAGCAATTCAACCCAGGGAGCAAGATCCTTAGCTGTATTCAAGGGCATGGGTCTATTCAGGTGCCAATGACCTTGAATAAAGCAAGGCCCTTGGCCAGGGCAAGGACCAGGGCTGGAGGGTTGGTGGTAGTGTGTTGGTGGTGGTGGGTTGCTGTGCTTGCTGTGCTGTGCTGCTTGCTTTCTTTCAAGGCAGGATTTTTTTGAAGACATCCTTTAAAGGCTGGATTTGGGACATTTTTTAAAGGCTGGATTTGGGATACCTAGGGCCAGGGGTGAAAACAGTTAGCTTTATTTAGGGGTAATTTAATAATCTGTTCTGGGATTTGCTTAGCTTTCATCGATTCATCATAGATCGACATTAGTCCGTGCTTGCGCACACGGGCGCATCATTGCTATGCCGACGTATTGCCGTTTTGGTATGGCACAGCATTGCCTGGCAAAGACACGACACTTGTTGGTGAACTTGCGGTGGTGCCATTGCCTAGAGGAGGCGGATTTTGATGCCCAGCTGCCCAGCTGTTGGGGACTTTGTTTTGGAGCAATCTTGACTCAAAGCGCCTTTACTTGGGCTTGGTGAAGGCTCGTCGACATGTGGTGTGGACTCTAAAGAGCGTGAGGGGTGAAGCGACTCGGTTCCAAAGGGTTGTCCAGAACACAGGCGTGGAAGTGGCAATGGAGATCTTCCGTTGAGACGATGTTGTGCACAAGGTCGGTGGACAAGGCCTCCAATGAACATAGGAGCGTGGTCTCTGTTGTGACAAATCTCCTGTGTTCATCGTTTCAACACCCAAAGCCCAAAGCCTCTTTGTGGGCCGGTGCTCTTGTCAGGAACAGCGCCTGGCCCGCGAGCGCGAACACTCGCACTTTGGACTGGCAAGGGATTTCAGGATGGTTCCGCGGCGGTTGGAAGACATCCTACCAAAAACTATCTAAAGCCACAGTTTTCGGTGGTTGCCCCATCTCAGACACGCCCGCTGGGGAGTTTTGACTCTTCCCATGCCACTTATGTCAGGGTGTGGGTGTTCGCTCCATCGACTGTACTCTGCAAGTCACGTGGGAAGTTGGTTAGTCATAATTGGTCAATGTCAATTGTTGTACATTTGTATGGAAAGAGGGGTGTTTGGTATCAGACGCAGTTGAGCGATCGACACTTGCATTTTTTAAATTTCACGCGGTGTTCGATTATTTTGATCAATTGACAAACCACGTTGATGTTGCTTTCGACGACTTCAACAAGGGCTTAGGGTTTGCATTCCGCCACCTGTTGTTTTTCTGAAAAACAAACTGGTGGCTTAGGGATGACTTGAGTGAGGTAGTTGGCCAACTCGTGACCAACCACGAACATGAAACTCCGGCATTTGTGTGAATTTTACCCCAGCTGCGACCAGTCCAAGTCCACCACTACCAGGCCGGAAGAAAATCAGTCGTGACTGCACTCAAAAAACAAAACACTTGGAACGGGGCTGTGTTTCTTGTCACCTCCAAAAAGCAAACCACACAACTCTTTCATCGACCACTTCGAGGCCGGGTGCCGGCGCTGCAGCCGAGCGGCTGCGCTGGGAGCACGAGGCCGAGGAGCAGTCGGAAGTCTCGCCGTGGAGTTGTTGTTGTTGTTGTTGTTGTTTTTTTTTGGGCGAGCTTTAATACTACGTCCTTGTATTTGTGTGCATGATATACAATGAGTTCAGAATTTGATCTATGGAATGGTCAGATCAATAACACGATGGGTCACTGTTCGACTCGATCCGCAGCCTTCTCTCAAAGGGTTTCCTCGCCGGGCTTCCTCCGGTCCGCGCCTCGCCTGGGGACCGGTACGGGGGGACACCCGGTGGGACGCGTGGGGACGCGGATGCGCCGCGCGCAGGTTTCTGCGGGTCGTGCCCCGTGCGACTCGTCGAGCTGTTTTGCGGTGGCGATCGTCGGCGCGGTTTGGCGGTGGGCGGCAGGCGGTGGCGATGGGCGATGGACGCATCCTGTGATCCGGGGGGGGGCGGGCATTTCCCCCGCAAAAGGGTTCCGAGCCTCGTCGGGTTGCTTCAGCGCAAAAGAGAACGGCGCATGCGTTTGTGGACTTCAACGGAAGTCGCCGAAGGAGCTCCACAATGGCTTATATGTCTATTTGGAGTGCACTAGCTCCTATTTCCCTTGCGTTTCCACAGCTGGAGCCAACCTGGTCTGGCCTGCCCAAGCAAAGCGCAACAGCTAGCTTTATAGTAAACACGCCCAATTCCGCGCACTTCCACGTTCAACAACCATTGTTTTCTTCTCTTCACCCAGCCTCGTTCGCCGCGGCCCCAAAGACCGAACCGGGTTCCACGGCGCGGGTCCACGCTGAGGATCCTCCCGATTTGGGGTATGGTGATGCTGAGGTCATTGTACCTGATAGGTCTGGTCCACCCACCCTTTCGACCCGCGCACGACGACTTGCGACGTGTCCGTGCCTGGTTTGGTCGACCACCGGCCGCGGGTTTGGTGCCGAAGGAGTCGGGTCTGGTGCCTAGCGGGTTCATGATGTTCATGCGTGGAATGGACAGGCCCAGCGATGCGTCCACTTTTCGGATGGGCCATGTTGTTTGGACGTCCAAATTCAATTTCTTTTTGCCAAAAGGGACCTGTGAGGATGGTTTCCATGGTGGGAGGCGACCCGAAGACCTGGTTGTTGGTTCCATTTTCCCATGGGGCCCATGCTCCAACATGGATTGATTCAACATCCAACAGACATCCCAAAGGCCACCCATGTGAAAATTCCCGAGGTAATCTCCAATGGACATTATAGCGGTCTCCAAAGTGCTGCGCCTGCCACGAATAACATTTGTGCCTGCCACGAAATCTGACGCCATACTTTCAGCGGGGTTGCCGAACTGCAGATGATTTACCAGGATGAGGGGCTAGGCTGACATTGATATGGCTTGGCACTGAATCTATCCGCGGGCCTTGAATACCTCCAAGTCAAGTGGCCCAGAGCTTGCTGGTCCTTGAGGCGGTTGCGGCCTGGAAGCTTGTTTTGCGCAGCGAAGCCTTTCTTTTCCACGCGCGCTTGAAGCAGCACCTTTTGGCCCCACAGCAGTGGTTCTTGTTGGCCCTGCGTTCAAGAGCCTTAGGGATGCGGGTCCTGCGCTCTTACCCAGCCAAGGGGTGCCTACAAACCACTTTTTTGCTAAGGTGGGAAGCTCGCCAATGCAGCTTGCGGCGCTGTAAGTTGCCAGGCCATGATGTCTGGTGTGAGCACTTCATCAGCCCGCTTAGTGCGGCAATATCTCAGCTCATAGGTGTGCCTGCGCCCCATCAAGTTTGAGTGGAAAGGCGGTTGTTTGTTTGACATCATTTTACGCCCCGTGTGCTGCCACAGGTGCATAGTCGGACAGCCAGACGCAGCGCACGTGGTGCCAAAGATGGCCCGTCGAACCCTTACAGGGTTTGTTGTGGTGGTGCCACGAGTTGCCAGAGCCCTCTTCCAAGCGCTTCAGTTGCTTTCGGTGGCCCACAGACTTTGAAAGGGCCTTTGCAAAGCAACGCCAAAAAAAAGGATGGCATCCTGCCATGCATTTGGATGTTGCGTTTTGTTCGAGGAATCGAGGAATGTTTGTTGTTTGATGTCCAGTTTCAGTGAACAGTCAACGTTCATTGCCAAGTCAGCCAGTGATGTGATGAGGACCCAACTTGGGTTATTATGTAGCGAATGACTCTTTTGATCCCCAATCCAAACACTTTTTTTGTTCAACCGACCCAACGCTTTCAGCAAAGATGATGTAATCCGCTTCTGCCCGTTGGCGACGCCCAAACACTTTGACAGTTTTTTTTGTGTGTGGGGGTTCAAGCCTAATCCAGGGCAGAGTTTGTAGCGTTTCTACGAAGCCATTGCATCCACTGCATTGTTTTGAGGTGTTATTTTCATCATTTTGGCCGCCCTAAGCATCTTGGTGACATGATTTTGGGGTGTGTCTCGTTGGGCGGTGGGCAGATCTCTATCCCAAAACCAACTGGCTGGAGGACCCCCCTATATAATAATATAATCAAACACACACCCATATGTCATATGTCAAAATTGGGATGTGGAAAGGGACATGCCCCGTCTTGAAACTCACACCATGAACTCATCGGGGTTGCAAGAGCTGCGATATGCGCCTCCATTTTGACACAATCTGTTGTTGGATGGGGAAGGACGGGGAATGCTGTCGGCTGTGCTTCATGCCAGTTGTCATCCCACAGTCTTCTGCTTGCCACTCTAAGACTGTATACTTTTGCTGTGTACGTTTGAAACTGTGCATCTCCACATCTCCACGCTCCTCCGTCACTCCTATCCGTCACTCCTCGTCTTCCACCCCGAACCGACTGCTGAAGGCTTGCGGGACTTTGCCACATCCAACGAAATCGAAGGCTACTAGTAGCAACGGTGTTTTTTTTTAAACAAGAGGACACAAAAACTTCTCATCACGAAAGGTAGCTTGAGCTACCTGAGTTCTCCTTGCTTTAGCAAAAATGTATTACAATCAGGAGTTGGCATTGTGCATTGAGTTTGGTCCTGTAAGAGATGATTCTGTTCGTCGGGGGGGGGGCCCCCCCTGGATCAAATCCCCCCTGCGCCGGTTCATGGACTTCTACCAGGGTTACTTGTGATTGCCTGCTACCTTTCGTTCACCCCCTCCTCTCTCAAGTATTCTTGTCCTCTTTCCGGCGTTTGGAGGTCCATGTTTTTTTTGCTACGCTTTTATTGATGTTTTCGGGTCCTGAGGCGGCACGGAATGCGTGTGGGGACACAAGGCCCGGCTCGCAGGCACGGGTTGCGGGCCGGGGTTTGCTGCCGATGTGAGGTGGAACAAATCTGACGTCTCAAGTATGGGTATATTATTGGGTCTGCCCTGTTACCTGCAACAGTAAACAGTTATATTATATATCACTATTTTGAAGAAAGGCAGTTACTAACCATCATCATCCACTGTTACTGGTAATAGGATAGACCCAATGTATATTTTGTTATATATATATATACATATGTATATGTATATGTGTAGAACCTGATTGTGAGGCCAAAGAGTCTCTCTGGGAGTCCAGTCGACCATTTTAGAATGGTCTTTAGATGATCCCGTCCAGGAATGTCCTTTGTTTCGGTGTTGCCAGAACATGGCTTTGGACTTCTAGGGCATCGGTAGACCATAAACCCTAGAAGTCATTGAAGTAAAGGAAGTTCCTGGACTGGGTAAAGAAAACTTTCACGGGTATACAGCGGTATACACTGCATACTGTATACAGTACCCTAGAAGTCCAGTTCGACGCTATGTTGTCCCATCGAAATGAAGCAAAGGAAGTCCCTGGACTGGGGTCACCTACTGCAGTTACACTTGATGGGCTGTCAAATCCATACAGCAGAAGCGGTTCACAGCCGCAATCAGGCTCTTTCCCTCCAAATAGCGGGTAAACCGCGGTATACCTGGATCTTCCAAGTATTACAAGGTCTGCCTTCTGGCTGGTTTTATAGATGAGAAGGCAGGAATATTGCAGTGCGCCCGTGGTGGGGCTTCTTTCTGTGTTGTCTCGCGCGAAGAAAGATTGAACGATACAAGTGAAATATTTGTTCTCCTTGCTGAATCCAAACAGTCTAGAAAGGTTCCAAACATGTCCAAACTCTCTTTAGGGTCAGGAGAGCCGCTTTTACCTCTACGATGTTCTGCATCCATCTCTTCCATGTAGGATGGCCAGGTGCTATTTCTTCACTGAACCAACCACCTTTTCTTCGTGAAGAAGAGTCTCGGGGCATGGTTTTTCAGCTCCGCCCAGGAGGGCCTGTTGCCCTGGCACCGGCACCGGCACCCATGCCAGTGGTTCCACGCCCAGAGCCGAGGAGGGGCGCGATCCGTTTTTTGGCGGGTGTTCTAACGAACTGGTTGTGGGCATCAGGTGTGATGTTGTTTTGCGCCGAACTGGGTCAATTCCCTACACCAGGACCCCCAAGGCGTGGTTAATGGACACCCCGAATCACAGCTAAGGCTAGGGGCAAAAAATAGACACCCCGACAGGAGGGTCCTGGTCTCATCTGGGGTTCCTAGTCGATCTTTTTTTCACCGGATCCTGGTTCTGCAAATCCAACATACTCGTTGTGAACTCGTGTGTTCATCCCACGGACGTTCTGACATCGCCTGACATCGCCACCGTTGGACTCGGACGTTTTTCGGACGTTGTGTTGCGGTTGGACTCGGGTCTCGATGTCAGGATTTAGCTCATGGTGAGAAGGATTCAGTGATTCCAGTAGTTCTTCCATGTTCTTCCACATGGAATTCTTGGACCCTTAACACTTCACCTCCAACAAAAACCCATCCATCTCCCTCTCTGCCCAAGCGGAAGATCCATGCCCTCGAGTCCATGCCCGTCCCTGTGGCGGCACGCGCGGGTGCCGCCTGTGGAGGTATTCCGGAACCCTATAGACCCAGACCATGGATCTGTTTATATGGGCATTCAAACATGCCCTTCCTCCAATGTAGGCAACAGATATGCCATACATGGATGGTCTGGGGATTCAGACCAAAAGGATCACCCTTCTATGTCCAAGCAGCTCTGGCTGAAAGCGCGCCGCGGCGAACGTTCCTTTTTCGCCCTTCGACGGACCGGACATGCAGGTTGATGCCCTCCCTCGCGGACGGAAGGCCGGGTGACGAAGATTCCACGGCCCGGACCAGGGGTGGGGGACCGGGGGTCCCTGCAAGGGGTGTCTATAAATAGCCACTTAGAGGTTATGATGGTTGAGGGGTGTCGGTGGTGCTGGTGGTTTGGCGGGACCTCCTTGCTTCGACGACTCCGTCGCTCGCCGCATACCGTGCCGAACTTTGCACGGTGCAGGGGTTTCCTGCACCCTGCAGCCCCTTCGATGGTCCTGTCGGTTGCCCGACGGTTTTCGCTCCGCCGGCCTTCCGAACGAACGGCGGGCGTCGGGGCGGACGAGCACCGCCCGGCGGAAGCGGCGGGAAGGTGGACCTTCGTGGACGGCGACGCCGGCGTGCGGAGCCAGTCCTACGAGAACTCCATGTGGCCACTGGGGCCGTTCTGGTAGCCGGTTCCGGTTCGCCGAAACTCGGGGGCTGAAGGCATCGAGCTGCTAGTAGCTGGAAGCTAGGCCACGCTAGTAGGTTGGAGGCCATTAGTAGCTAGCTAGAAGCCTATACTGGTAACCAGGCGTTTCGGGGGCTTCGGCGGTGGAGTAGAAGGGCGTCTTGGTATCTTTTGGAACCTCGGCGACTCGGCGTGTTTTTTTGGGTCCTTTTGGGGGGGGGGAGTGACCGTGCCCGTGGGGAATCGCGGGGGTCGGGTTCATCGGTTTTTGGGGGGTGACGCCTGCGAAGGGGGCAAGGGGGGTAGGAGCTTTGCGGGCTAGGTTTTAGTTGGAAAATCAGCTGACCTGTGAGATGTTTCCGCTTGTTTTCAAAGGTCTGAGCCCGAGAGAATATTACTGTAGTTGTAAGACAGCAACAAGACACCCTCGGGATCTCTCACTGGGCGTCTTTTCGATCCTTTTCCCAGTTCAATGCGTTTCGGCTTCAACGCGGCGTTTGGGCATGTGTCACCATACCCAGCTGCTGCAGCTGTGGAAGACTCCCAGTGGACGTGTTTCTTCCCTCGCCCCACTGGTTTTAGCCGCTCCCAACTTTTGTCCGCTCCCAAGCCCTGGCGGCCCTCCCAAGCCCTTGTGATGTGCTTGTTCATGCCCAAGCCGATGGTTTGCAATCGCCTGGGTGCCGCGTGAGCAACGGAAACCCGTGTCAATTCCATGTCATTCCTGCCAGTAGTGCTTTTTCCGTGATTGTTGAGCAGTGTCGTTTTTGCGACGGCCTTCTTACCTCTTTGCGACGGCGTGTTTTTTTTTTTTTTTGCGCGAAGTCGCTGCGACGGCCTTCTCTTCCTTTCGCGCAATCCATCCACGCGGTTTTTTGTTTCTTTGCGACGCTGCAGTCCGCACGCCTTTTTTGCGACAGTAACCTGCGTTGCACGTGGTGACATTCATGTGAGCAACTGTTTATAAACATGGATAAACACGGTATCAATAATATTATGGTATTTCAGAGATATGAAGAGCCGAGCACGTCCAACGTTCCAGTTTCCGAAACCCAACTTTTCGCTTCCGAAAGAGGCAACGCTGACCGAGGTTCTATGCCCAGCGGCAAGCCGCGCAGGCCACGGCGGGCGCCGAGGGCGCAGAGGCAGAGCAAGCGCTGGCCGCGCTGACCAAGTCGGCGGCGCTTGAAATGCCACGTGGATGAGATGTTTGGGTCCAAAACCGGCACCAGCACCTTCCTCGGTTTGGGGTCGTGAGACCTGTCCATCTCCATTTGGCTCATCCCTATGGATCAACATATTCTCTGAGAAGGTGATACACTGTTAAGTTATGTAGGCTTGGAGGGTCTAAGTCTAAGTGCATCTTGAGAAGGTATTTAGGATCTCTAGGGCATATGGACATCTAGGGCATATGGACATCTGGTGCTGCTTCTCCGCTGCGAACGTCCAGCTCCGCCCCGTCGGGCACGCGACCGGGCCGCCCCGTCGGGCACGCCGTGCCCCAAGGCTGATGCCGACCCTGACCGAGGGGCAGCGGCTTGGCTGCATGGAAGGGGTGAATCTGCATCTGGGCTGTCAGATTCATAGACTTCAGAAAAACACGTTAAAGTAGGGTTTGGGGCAGACGCCGACCCATTTTGAGGACTGGCTCCACTATATCAACAAGCATTTTTTTCCAGCAAAACTGAGGGAGATCACCCAGCGGCGGAAAGCACCTGTTTGCAGCTTGAAAACACGACTGGTGCACATCCATTGGCACACCAGGGCCCCCGTTGGGATCGGACTGTGCAGGACGGGAGTCCTTTGGACGGCTCGCCGTGGACGAAGCGCCGTTGATGGACCGGAGGTCACCAGTGACCCTTTCGGCCAAAGACCTTTGGCCGACCTGAATGTCTGACCTTCGTTTGACATGGAATCATACGACTCGCACTGGCAAGAAGGACTTCTTTCCTGCGTTTTAATGCTCCGAATTTGGTGAAACTGGAACATTCTTCCCAATCTTTCACTGGCAACAGACTCCCCAACCAGGCATGCACTGGCAGTGGTGGAGTTGATTCTGCCCGCGTGGTTTTCACCGAGGTGGAAGTACTTGAACCCTGATGGCAGCGTGCGCATCGCAGGGGCGGAGCCAATCTTGCCGGGAGGCCCATCGGGGCATGAAGAGGCTTCTTCCAATGAAAAAGCATGAGGTTTTATATACTGAGTTTTGCTACCAGGGATTAATCAGTTTCATGGTGAAAACTGATCAGTGTTCAAAAAGGTGCACGTTGACCCAAATTGCAGCTGTTGCAAAGAACATGGGGTCCTTTGAAATTTATCCACAAGAACAGGTCCATTTCTTCACAAAAAAGACAGGACACCGCATCATCACTGTGTCAGGAGGTTGATGTGTCACCGGTTTTGGGCAGGTTTTGCGGGGCGACCTTCTACCCAATGCGCATGGGGAGCATGTGTGACTTGGTTCCCTTCCTGGAGCAGCAAATCCAAGTCATTCATTTTGTGAATTGAGATGATCCTTCGAGCCCGAGGTCTAGCTTCGCCCCGGCCTCCGCCCCTTCTTCCGCGGCCGCGCCGGCACCGGCGGCGGCGCCGGCGGCGGCGCTCTCAGCACAGTGCTCCGGGCTGGCAAAAGCAGCGCGGCTTGGATGCAAGGGTGTTATAGAACAGGAGCCCTCCAAGACCTTTGACCATTGTAAAAACGGCCTTTAGGGGATCCGAAAAGGAATTTCCTTTACTTGGGTGGTGCCAAAAATAGTTTTGGACTTCTTTGGGGGGAACATAGATATAGAAGTCAATGATGTCAATGTAGGGATGTTCGCCGATTTTCATGGTTTCAAGTGTCTCGATGACCTCCCGGACCTGCCGGGACCTCCTCTTCAAAAGCTGCACGCGTCGAATCACGTCAAACTCCCCCACGCGCCACGCGCCACGCGCCATGCGCCATGCGCCACGCCTGTCTCGGAGTTGAGGGACTTCCTGAAGTGCAAGGACGTGCGGGTCATGAGCTCTGAGAGCTTCGGAGGCGAAGGGCAGGGAAGTCGGTGAAAGGCAGGGAAGTCCTCGAAGGCCGGGCTTGTTGCCTTGGGGGCGCTTGAAAATCGCCCTTTGGCGCCCTTTTTTGGAGATCTGAACACCCCAGCCGCTTCCTTTCATCTGGACTAGCCCTACCTGTGACGCCCTGCAGGTTCGACACTCCGACCGCTTCGGGCGGAGGGCCGTTTGAAGCCCGAGCTGCGCTGCCCTACCGTCGCTGTTCGAGTTGGACGAGTCTCCCTGGAAGTAACATGGAAGTGGAGTTCAAACCTGTTTGGTATGCGGAAATATGAGGAACATGATGGAACATGCTCTTCCGAAATCGGAGGCCATGCCATCCACGAAACCGTTCCAGGGAGCACAGCCCAAGTGTCAAGGAAACTCCTGTACTGGGATCACCGTTCATCAAACCGTTTTAGAAACTGGTCTTTCCTGCACTCTGAGAGAGAACTTCCCGAACTTGACTGACTAGAAACCCCACCTGGAAGTCTATGACTTACCAGGCCGGGGTAGTTCATGCCGAGAACTTGAGTGACCTCTCTTTTGGATCACCCACCACCCCAAAACAGGGTCTTTTTCCGATCAAAAGCAGGGGTGCCTGAAGCTCCAGTGGTTGGGTCGTGGACTCGCCGGAGGTGCTGGGCTGGCGCAGCTGGATGCCGTTGGCCAGCTGTTGGGCTGCCATTGCGGGGTACGGAAGCTTGGGGGGCGTGGCGTGGGTTCTTTGGGCGATGACCTGGGGTTCTTCAGCTCTGAAATGCGTCTAAATCAGCCCTTAGAGTCGAAGAGGTTGTACAATCCATGTCTGGGGTTACTCTTGATTGTATAATCAGGAGTCAATCCATTGTACTTTTAACTGGTTGGAAATGGTATGAAATGGTATCAATCTCTCTGAGAGGACTCCCAGACTCCCATGGCTGGTCATTTGGGAAGCAACGCAAATCTGCGCGGGTGACTGGCCTATTGGTGGGAGGTACGAACATATTTTTCCGAATGTTCGCGCGCCCTGGCTTTTGGACACTGGCCTGATCCATTCATCTAAACTACATTCCCTTGTTGTCTACCCTTACTGTATTCACTTATATCTGGTTTTGGGGGTCAATGTAGGCATATATGGCATACATGGAGTGTCTGGGTATAGGTGGCTCTGGCAGGTCACGCGGGCGCCCCTTTTGGTGTACCGTCCACCTGAACCCGCTCCCGCCAGGTCGACCGTTGGCGGACACCCTCCACGGACCTGGGGCGAAAGCTCGAACCGTTGGCGGACCCCTCCGGTTTTCCGGAAATCCAGGGTGACACCACCGGTTTTGGAAGGGTTCCGTGTGAAAGGAACCAGATCCAGACACCTGTCCCCAACAACGGAGCTCGGGCCGCCCGGACGTCTGACCGAGGTCTGGGCCGAGACGTGTCCCATGCAGAGCTGCCCGACGGTGTCTCATGCGTGGGAGGGGCCGCGCGGGAGCCAAACCCGGAGAGCTTTCCAGGGCATTCCGGAGAGGTGGACGTGAAGTCATCAAACTCTTTTGGAAGTGCTGTAGCTTCTGAATCTGAAGCTCTCTTGCTGACGGTCATGGCATCTATCAGGGCCATTTGATGATTGCCCGTCGGTAGCAATCATGTGGGGAATAGGCAGAAGCACATAAAATCGAGGCCCCCTTAAAGGCGATGGACCATGGATCTCATGTCCTGGCGCATGTCCAGAAAGCCAAGGTCTTGCTTGGAGGCTGGTGCCACGGACCTGGGCTTTGTCGGCCTCTCCCACTCACGTGGCCCGGACGGAAGAAAAGGCCGTCCGGTCGGTGGACGGGGACGGCGATTTTTCCTCGAAGGACTGGGGGACGTTCGGAGGAGGAGCACCAGCAGCAGGTTCCAAGACTGGGGTTTTCCGTTCGGAGGAGGATCTTGGAGGATCAGGGTGTTCTTGTCACTCCAAAAACCCACCCCGCTGCCTAGACCAACTCCTGGCATGGCCCTTTGGCAGACAGATCTCAACCCCTGATGGGCAGACATCTCAAGGAAGAACCATGAAACCAAGCCATTTCCACAAAGGTCGGTGGGCAATGGCAGGGACAACTGTCACTCTGCAAATCCCTAGGAAACCGAGCCTTCCTCCCATCCTTTATCCTTTGGTTTGTTGCTGTTGGCAATTGTTTTCTTTTTACTTCCTTCCTTTTCATCCGGACCAGGATGAGTAAGCAGTGGATGCCAAGTGGACTTCACCCGAGCAATCCAAGGGCTTCGTCTGAGCATCGCCACCCTGACATGCTGCGTCCGTCGATCGAAATCATCAACTTCGGGATGGGAGCTTCGCTTTAAAGCATGTCCACGCAAGTATGGTACCCATCCAAAAGACTGGGATTGAGCATCAACTGCAGCAAGAAAGTCATCTGACGACAAGCATCCAGTACCCTCCCTGCCAGGTCTTTAGTTGAGGTTTGTTGGGCCCTAACAGTCCTGAAATTGGTGGCCTTTCAGAGGGTCCTGAGTCCTGGTCAAAGGAAGTTTAGTGTACAAAACTTCCGTGTTACGAACATTCAAGAACTGTTCATACACCACTCATCAATACACCACTCATCAATACACCACTCATCATACACCACTCATCAATACACCACTCATCATACACCACTCATCATACACCACTCATCAATACACCACTCATCATACACCACTCATCATACACCACTCACCATACACCACTCATCATACACCACTTTTCATACACCACTCATCATACACCACTCATCATACACCACTCATCATACACCCCTCATCATACACCACTCATCATACACCACTCATCATACACCACTCATCAATACCTCTAGCTCCAGGTAGCTCTAGTTTCAAGAGCTCTAGCTCCAGTTGGCTCTAGTTTCAATAGCTCTAGCTCCAGTTTACGTGGCAGGCGCAGCACGTTGTGAACCTCCATGTGCAGATTTCGTGGCAGGCGCAGCACTTTGTGAACCTCCATGTGCAGATTGCGTGGCAGGCGCAGTACTTTGTGAACCTCCATGTGCAGAGTTCGTGGCAGGCACAGCGCTTTGTGAACCTCCACGTGCAGATTTCGTGGCAGGCACAGCACTTTGTGAACCTCGAGGTGCAGATTTCGTGGCAGGCACAGCAGTTATTGAACCTCCATGCGCAGATTTCGTGGCAGGCACTGAGAACTGGCGACTTTGTAGTGCAACTTTAGTACGCGGAGCAATCTGTGGAGCTGGAAGCTGAGAACTGGCAACTTTACAACTTTAGTACGCGGAGTATCTGGGGAGCTGGAAGATGAGAACTGGCGACTTTGTAGCGCAACATAGTAACTATTAGTACGCGGAGCAATCTGTGAAGCTGGAAGCTGAGAACTGGCGACTTTGTAGGAAGCTGAGAACTGGCGACTTTGTAGTACAACTTTAGTACGCGGAGTATCTGGGGAGCTGGAAGATGAGAACTGGCGACTTTCTAGTACAACTTTAGTACGCGGAGCAATCTGTGGAGCTGGAAGCTGAGAACTGGCGACTTTGCAGTACAACTTTAGTACGCGGAGTATCTGTGGAGCTGGAAGATGAGAACTGGCGACTTTGTAGTACAACTCTAGTACGCGGAGCAAGCCGTGGAGCTGGAAGCTGAGAACTGGCGACTTTGTAGTACAACTTTAGTACGCGGCTGAGTCATCTCTATTCTGTATTTTGCAAAAATGCATGAACAACATTTCTTCCTGCGAGACAGTTGACGGTGGTTGCTTCGCTTTCGCTCCATTGGTCGGTTCCAACTTGTTTTGTCAAAGCACATCGCAGCTCGGCGAATCAGCGTGCCACATGCCCATTTCCTATAGGTTTATTCTTTTGGAAACGCCGGCTTGCCCGGGAACTGCTTGTATATTATATTTTACTTCGTTGTGTTATATTATATTGTAAACGTCATAAATCCGTCCGCTCGTTCGATCTTCTCCCTTTCAAGTTGCCACATGGCACACTCACGCGTCCGCGTCCGTTTGCCCAAGGCCAGGAATTGCCCAAGGTTGCCGCCCCAGATCACGACTTTGCGCAGGGCAGCATCTCTCTGTGCATGTCCGGGTGCCCAATTTCTTTTCGGATCCACCGCGGCTCTGCGTGCGGCTCTGCACGGTTACCAGGGTGCTTTTTGGGATCTATATAGAGGCTGAGACGATGAGAGAGAAGTTGCCCAAGGCAAGGGCATCATTTGTTGATGGCATGTGGGGGGGACAAGTTCAGCTTTGTAGAGGACAGGACACGGCGGACACCGGGCTTGGTTCTCTTGGCTGGATTCACAGTGCCCCACCAGGCAGTGTAAACAGAAAACCTCACCTGAGGGTCCTACATCCCTCATCCCACATATCCAAGCAGCCTATACTAGCAATGGTTTGCCCCCCGTGTCTCCTGCTACATCCCACGTACCACGCTGAGGTACTGGCTGCCAGATCCGCTTCCTCACCTGGAAGAACCCAAAGCACCAGGGTCCACTCCTCAAAGGGATCTCTTTCGGACAAGTCTTGAAGATTGGCAGACTTCGTGTCGCAACAAACTGTCGCACAAGCCACATGCCTCTGAGTTTTTAAGGGTCGACATTTCATGAGACGTGAAGGAGACCGTATCAGGGGGGTGACATTCAAGTTTTATGTATGTCAACCACGTAACTAGGCATGGTGACGACTGCCGAACAATTCACAGTTTCTTGCGGTCTTGAACATCTTGAAACATTTCCGACATGGCATCTTATACCAGGACGCACAAGTTCACAAGGGGGTGGTTAATGGACACCCCCTAGGGGGAAGTGTCTCACTTCCACTCCAATGAGGCATGCCGAGGAACAAGAACTTGGCCAAGAAGGGAAAAAGCGCACACACGCAAGCGTCTCCCAGGGCTCAAACACCCGGTGACCAACAACCACCACCCCACACAAACTTGTGCGCTAGGAGTCTAGTTCGACTTCTTTTGGCACCGCCCAAGGTTTAAGGACATGCCGAGTCACTCGGATCACCGTTCGTCAGACCGCTTGGAGAATGGTCTTGGACTCCCAGGCTTCGCGTACATATCGAATGGGTCGCTGGAATCATTCGATCGCCACTCGCGGTTCGTTGCTGCAACCCAGTCTCGCGGAATCCGACGTGGGATTCTATCGTGTTTCCTTTCAGGTTGACGCCCGCGCCCGCGCCGGCCAGGCTGGGGAATCCCGGCCTTCGGACGGTTTTTATTCGCCGACACTGGGGGATCTTCGACTAGCAGGGTGGTGTGTGGAGCGACCAAAAACCGACCACGAGCCGCGTTGATCACCCAGTTGGGGTGAAGAGGTCACTAAAGGAATCCCAAAACCAACACCCTCGGGAGGGTCTGCGTGTCTGTCACCACCAAAGCCGCTCCAACAGTTTAATTGAGACTTGCCAAGGCTCAAGCCTCGAACGATGAGATCTGTTGGGGTTGGTACAAGTAGAAGCGGCTTCTTCTTGGGAGACGTCACGTGGACGGTACTGCCGTGAATTCACAAGGCAATCCTTTCTTGGTGCCATGAATTGCGCGAAACAAACTATAACAAACTCAGGGGTCATCACGAGAGACAGTTTGTTGATCGACCTTGTTTCTGGAGCACCCAAAATTCTGCAGTGCACAACTCAGCCTGGGAGGGACATGTGTGCTTTTGGAGGAAAGGCAGGCACTGATGTTCGGTCAAATCAAGTCCAGCGGGCGTTTGTTCAGAGCATCAACCTTCCAGGTTTCTTTAGAATACTAAGGACACTGACGCTTCGATGGACTTCGATCCTCTTGTACAAAGGATCCGGTCGATGCCATCGAACAAAGATCGCAAGAAATGGAGACGGCACATCCTTAGTCTTAAGGCCTTGTCGGCTACCACGCGTTGCAGTTTCCCCTTTGGTGTTTGGAGAACCGAGCTCGGTCGCGGCCCGTGGCTCCGTCGAAATCGGAACCAGCTTTTCGGACTTCCTGGTGTTGGAGGTGCAGGCTTGAACTGCCATGTTTGACGCTGAAAAGCCATGAAAAGCCTCCAAAGACCATGGAAAGAACGGTTCACCTGGTTTTGTTGTCCCCAAATTCAACCCGTTCAACCAATGATGGTTGTTGGAATCCTGGGGCATGCCGCCTTGGCCGCGTGGTCGCGCTCAGGTGATTTCCGGCCGTTACAGCGCGTGAGCAAAAGAGTCCTTCTGCTGGGGGCCATCGTGAAGCTGTGTCGGAGAGATGGCATTGGGAGATTAAGCTGGAACACTCCCTGGAATCATCAAGAAGCGGACACCCGTTTCCGAGCCATGATGTAGTTTGGGTGGAAGGCATCGCTTCCTGTCGGATGCAACAAGTGATGGTGCAGATCTTTGAACCCACACAGGAGCGCCGCCGGGTCGAGGACTACGCCCGCTTCCGCCGGCGGCGCTTCGAGGCGCGCGAGAGTCCGCTGACGGCGCCTCTGGGGCCCAGTTCCGGGAACGGAAAGAACGACGCTGGCGTATGAAGTTTTAAAGCTATACAGTAGGCTATTTACAGCTTTTTCAGTTTGTGTAATGAAAGATCGCATGAGGGCGGAGACCCCCCAACGGCTGGGATTTGGTCTCCATTTTCTGTTGATAAGGGGCTTTTGGGACGTCTCCCCCTTTCAATACACACCCATGTGATCCCATGTGGATTGGCTCATTGATGCAACCCCATGACCCTCAACGGGTTTCCATGATTTTTGCATGGTCTTAGACCCAGGTAGAACATTCTCCCTTGCACTCTGCGGTGGGTGGATCATCCCGGAAAGGCAAACGAAGAGATAGGTAAGTCAGATTCAGTCAGTAAGTCTCCATCCATGCTTGGGCTATTTCTATCAGGCTTTGGCTGTTCGAACCATGGTCCACGACCTTCAACGCATGACATCGGGTCTATCCACGACCTTCCAAGTTTTGTTCAAAGCAGGACTTTTTGAGATAGGCTTTTACACCCAGGTGCCCAGGTGCCCGGGTCCAAAAAGAAGAACCGTCCGTCACCGAGCCGGCCAAGAGAGACCTTGGGGTCTTCTGACCCGGAACGTCTGCTTTCAAAGCCCAACGAAGTCGACCGACCCCCCCGGTCCACCCGAGGGGTCCGCACCTCGGCCCATTGGGAGCGCCAGGAGTGGGAGCGACACTTCGCCGCGGAGAGGCGCGGTGTGGTGGAGTCTGCAAGCGAGCGAATCATTGGGGGAGAAGATGAAGAGCAGATGCAAGTGTGACGGGTGGGTGTTGAAGTCTCCGGAATTCGCATTGATTGCTTTGGAATGTAGAAGCTGGATGAATGTAGAATCTAGAATCTAGAATCTCCTCCAATGGTAAAACCTCTTAAAGCAGAGAGTCTACAAATATAGTCAAGAGTTTGCCCCATTAGATCTAGCCGCCCCAATCTTTTAGGGGAGGGATCGGCTGCGGCCCTGCGGCAGCCGCCGAATCGATGGATCGTGGTTGATCAGCATGGGATAGATCAGACTATTCATGCCTGGGATCCGTCTGAACCGTTGCTTTACTATGCTTCACGAAGGGATTTGTCCACTACCAAAGCCAGGGATCGGCCAGGGATGCTTGATCAGACGATCATCCAAAGTCCGGACCGGACCGGTCCAAGGGCGGCCTCGCTCTTCTGCTCGACTCGGCGAACTCGGCGACCTCCAAGTTCGCGCGGCGACCTGAGGCTTCGCTTCGCCAGCGAGGCGGAGTTTTGCGCCGCCACCCTGCGGCAAAAGGCGGAGTGACCGGGTTGCGCGCTGACCGGGGGGAAACACCGACTCTGCCGTAAGAACGGAGGTTCGGAGCGACCGGGAAGACGCATTCGGTGCGGCACCATTGGAGGGCCGTGAGGTCTGGACCGACCAACCCTGGAAAACACCATTGAGCATTATTATTCACCAAGACCACATCGGAAGAAAAAGACAAACGTGTTCTTTTGTTTTCCACCGTGTCCACCACCGCCACAAAATTTCACCCGTTGGGGTGCATCATCCACGATTCTTCCGATTCTGACTCCGATGAGCTGGACTGTCCAAAGATGCTCCATGTGGAGACCCAGACCTTCTGGCCCCCCTGGGTGAAGAAGGGGGTCTCCCTGTTTGAAACACACACCCATGTCTTCTTCTTTGCAGCATAAACACAACCCTTCCAGAATCAGACACCCTGAAAGGGGGTACTTGTACCCCCAAAAATACGCAACATCTGCACCCACACGGGGTCAAGCCGTTTGCTTTCTGAGGGCTTTGGCGATGTCATGCATGCAGGCGCGGATGGCGGCGCAGGCCGACGAGCGGCGACTCGGAGTGGTTTTCGACGGAAGGAGGCCGCATGATGGGAGCTGCATGGATGGAGCTGCGGAAGCTGCCCAGAGCTGTTTGGAATCAAAAGGCGCTGAGGCGCCTCCGGAGAGTTGGGAACATCCTTTTGGTTTTGAGGGAGCAGTTTTGGGGAGCCAGTGGCTCGAAAAACATATTGAGAGTCCTTAATGAAGGACCCATTCAGGTTGACCCCTGAAGTGATGGATTGGGACTCGCAGGTGGGTAGTTCACGAGCAAAAACCGGAGGTTCTGGGAACGTGTTTCAACATGTTTGAAGGATGATGAACGCTTCACTTTACGAATCAACTTTCTAAGGTGCAGTAGTCGTATTTGGAAGAGGTTCCCCAAGTCCAAACTTCCCCATGCCCGGCCCGCTCCATGTGTGAGATGTGCCATGTGTTCAGTTTCCTTCCGACCGAGCCCAGGTTCTACGCCTCTCAGCGGGAGCCGCCACAGACTCGGATTTTTGGGGCTGACTGGGAGAGGGAGTGGGGACGGAGCCCTACAGAGGGTGATTGGGTGAGATTTGGTGTCACAAAACAATCCCTTAGGCCTTTTTTGTTCGACCATGAAACACAGGTGCTGGACCCGAGTCTTGGTCGTGTAGAACTCTTTAAGATAGTAAGAACATGCCAGCTGCTCCCGTTCGGGGTTACCTGGCTGGACAACCCTACACTGCTTATAGGTCACCAGACAGGACACCCAGACAGGAAGCGCTAGGTGTAAGAACCTATAAGAACAAGGCTTGTCCGGGATTCAGGCCCTGGACAGTCACAGTGCTTGGAAAGCCAGGCTTTCGGGGGCATGCATGCAATGGATCCCGCCGCCGAATGTCGTCCACTCGGTTGGAAGTGGTATGATGGCCTGTTTCAGGGGTATGCCCAAGGACCAAAATCCTTAGTAAAACATCTCGGTTCTGCAGGGATTACCATTCCTCATCCATGGGCCAAATCCCCAATGCGGGTCCACCAGGAGTCGGGGCGCCTTCCAGCCACGGCCCCCAAGGCCCCACGAGGAGTCGGGGCGCCCCACGCGGGTCGAGGGAGGCCGGAGTGATGCGAGGGGGGAGGTCGGGTGTCTCGGGTTGGTCTGCCGTGAGAAGGGCAGAGGTTCCTGGGGTGGAAGTGATGAGCAGAACTGCAGGGAAGTACAGGTGCGGACGTGGCGCAGAAGTGGTTATTTTGAGGGTTTGGGACCCTTCTTTCGGTGTTCGGAGGATCGGCCGCTGAACTGGGTGGGTGGATGGAAGGGTGTAGTTGCGACAGCTGGTGCGGCCAGTCACCGGTCTGCCGGGTTTGTACCGGTAAGAGTCGGTCAAGGACCATCACGAGTTTGGGTGAAAGGTCTTTACTGCCAGCACCGACTTCACAGGTCATCAATTGAAACCTGTTAGGGCCTAACAACCCTCCATTTCGGAGACTTGTTGGAAGGTGCTGGTAACCATCATCCACTGTCATTATAGTTACTATAGTCATGGGATATACCCAACACCTGTTGATGTGGACTCAAACACGAGACCACACAAAACACCTTCCGGAGCTTCCAGTGGTTTGGACCCAAGGACAGGTGAAGCTGGACGGACCGTATAGGCAGAAAGGCCATTTACATACAGTTTCAAGAAGTGAGAAATGGCACTGGCACCCGCAAGGATGTCTCAGATGGGGATCCACTACTAAACCACCAACATTGGGGTAACTTGTGCCATTTCTCACCTCTGAAACCACGGTATCTGCTGCTCCCTATCCTTGTCTTCCTCTGTTAAAGGAGCACCTGTGCTTGGGAAGTCTAGGGTTCCCAAGTTTGCTGCGCAACACAAATCCTCTCGACATCACGCCTCGATAGATCATGAATCATGAATCTCTTTTGGCCTTATCTCCAAGCTTTCGACCACAACACCTGGATCCTCCAGCCCCCGCCGGTTGTAAGTAACCATGGAGGGGCCATGTACCCGGCATGAGCCAAGGTTTCAGCGGCGATTCTGAGGACCAAATGCTAAGACCAAAGGATCAAGGTTTCAGGGAGTCTATGGTTTTTAGACCAATTTAGGTTTCTTTCAGACCGTTTGAAACGGCATGGTCTAAAACCCTGGACTCCCAGGGCAGATCTCGCGGGACGGCCACCCGCCCGGTCCGGCCCCGGACAAGACCGGTCGGGCAGGTGAGGCTCTTCCCTTCAGCGTGGAAGAACGGCAGCTGCTACAGGTGCACCGTGTTCAGCGGGTGAACCCCGTGGGTTTTTGGGACGATGCCTGGACGAACCTGTGAGATGGCGGACTTTTGGCATATTTGCAATACAAAGCGCGAAGTTGATGGGTCCGGTTTCCCCTGAGATTGACCTATGAACAAGTCCCGGGGTAGTGGCGGGCGCTTGGGATGACTTCCACGTGGGTCAAGTTCCGGAAGTTCGGATCATTCTGGTGCAATCAGAAGTGAGTCGCTTAGCCTCGAGGCTTCTGAGGTGGTGGGATGGGGATCCGGCTTCCCAGATCCAACCCTCGACGGCTTATCAGCGAAATAGCCTGGGAGTCAAGTCCAGCTTCCACCTCTGTCAGTGGTTTCGGACCTCAGTCCATTCTGACAGAGGGGGAACACTGGGAGTCTCAGGAAGGATCAGAACCAGGACTCATGAGGTGTGGACATCCTGAAGTGGATGGTTTTTTGTGCAGGGCAGACTCTTCCAGGAGACCCCTGTTTTTTCCCTTCAAAACCTGGTGCCTTTTTAGATGGGAGGTCGAAGCATTGGTGACCTCTGGGGTCCTGGACCTACCTTGGGATTGCTTCAGGGATTCATGGGCGGTGGCTGGGTAGACTAATCTCTGTTCCCCATGGGGGTCGAACTGGGTCACCCCAAAAGGGGTCGGCCCCATTCCCCCTGTTACAGGCGAAAGGAACCAAGGGGCCGGCCCACACCACAGTTCACTCGGAGTTCGTCCTCCAGTGGAGCCTCGGGAGATGGCGGGTCCATGAGAGTGTTTGCCCCGCTAGGATTCGTGGCCAAGCGTGGATTGAAAGGGTTGACTGCCCCATCGGCTCTCCCGAACTTCTTTCACACCGAACACCTTGGGGTCGAACCGAAGGCGAGTCCTCAACCTGTTGCGAAGGGCGGACCGATGCCGGCGGCTCCTGCCCTCGCCGGGGTCGAACGTTCGCACAGGAGCTGCGCTCCGTGCTGGGTGCGCCGAAGGAGGCTCAGAAGGCGTGACCGGCTGTTGGAACGCCGGAACGCGAAAGAAGACACACGGGGGGAATGGACACTCCATACCCTTCCAAGTCCAAAAGACTCGGTAGAACCTGGTCTTTGACCTCCTTGAGTAGTGTTTTTGTATGACCAGCTCCAGTAAAATGAGGACATTGACCTGTTAGGGGTACCATGGGGTACCCTTCCAAGGGTGGAGTTGGTTTTTCGTGACCGACCCTCTGTAAATCTTCATGGAACATGTGTCTGACTGTCTGACGGACGGTCCCGCCCCGTTCTTCGTGGTTCTGCGCGACTTGTGAAGGTTTCTGCCGAAGGGGGTTGAATGTCTGCTATTGCTCCGCTCGAGGGCGGGGTACTTTTCAGATATTGATGTATCCTGCCACATTCCGGGCCTGAAAACACACCATCTAGAACACATCTTCACCGGAGTTGGAGTTCAGGCTAATCCTAAGCTTCGAAGCTTCCGGACTCCGACTGAATCGACTCTTACCTCTCCTTTGGGTTCCTTTCCCCCTCCACTCTCCACTCCTTCACCGGGAACGACGACGCCAAACGGACCGAGTGGGAGGCCAAAGTGAAGGACCTGCTGATCCGTTGGCATCCGGACAAGAATCCCCAGTGCGCCGACAAGGCGGGCGCCCGGTCGAAGAGGTTTTTCTTTGTGGCGGGTCCGACATGGATGGCTCTCTCTCGCAGCCGCAGCCCGAGAAGGCCCGGTTTTCATCCCGGGCCACCCAAAAGGCATGGCATGCACCAGCAAGAATGGAGTTTGGGTTGGTGAAACCATTCACCCCTGACGAAGTGACCTTTTTTCCATCCAAATCACCCCCTCACTCCGTGGTGCTGGGCATCCTCCGGGACCGGTGGCGCAGAAGTGTTCTGTTTCGTGCGGGAGCTCAGGTTCCTGAAAGGTCCGGTGAGGTTTCGAACAGAAGAACATAAAAAATAACGTGAAATCCATTTATAAAGCAACAAACACAACACCATATGTCTCAAATCCATATCCTTTAGGGACACATACCAATATTCTTCACAAGTTGACGTGTTTTCAGCGCGGTGTGAGGACCGTGGTCTTCTTTTATTTAACGGGTGATGGGTGACGGCGTGGAGTTACAGAGTTCACCAGGCTTGTTTAACAATGTCTTTCAGAGGTGAGACATGGCGCTTAAGCATCCCTAAGGCCCGTCCTTGAGTTTAGATGGGGGTCCACTGGGAGGGGGTAACTTGTGCCGAACTCACCTCTGAAGCCACTGGTGCCTTTATTGTGAAGGCCGCCTTCGGTTTTTGTGGGTTTCTGTCGGCCCAGTGACCGTTCGATTGGCTGCAGGCCAAGCAGCTCTTCCAATTCCTCCAAGAGCCCGGAGGGCTCGAGAAGGGCTGCGCGGGGCGGGGAGAAGGCACGTCTTCGTTGTTGAGGGAGAAGTAGGGAGAAACAAGGCAATCCCTCGTTCAACGCAGTATTCAATATTTGGGTGTGTATTGAGTGTGTACAGTCTCCAGGCAACGACCTCCTCTTCCAGGTGTGGTTCGGGAAATAGGACCAATCCACCCCGCCATGGGCCAGGGAAGGCCATCTTGTAAAATACACCACCCATTGGGCAGACATCATCACCCGCAAGCCCTGCGTCTCGGGGAAGTGGGATGAAAGGGACCGGGTCACACTGCTGGTCACAGCTGGTCACGGATGAGACAGATGGATCTGTGTGGAAGAAGGTGGGGTCGTTGGAGACCACACTGACCAGGGTTGTGGTATCATGAACGTGGAACACCACATGTTTGGTATTCGGAAAAGGGTCATCCAAGGATATCCAAAGCGGGCCATGCCATCCACTTTCATCATGATTCCAGGGAGTGTAGTTGGATAATGATCATGATGTTCGGAATGTGTGTTTTTCATTACTCCATTCCATTCATCTCTGTGTTCCATTGTGTTGATGGTTTCTTCCAGACACTGGGATCGCAGCCCCTCCGAACGCCGCCTCAACGACCGAGGCAGCGCCGGGCAGTGTTGGGCCTTTGAGAAGGCCCTACGCTCGGAGGAGGAGAAACCACATCAGGATATGAATCTGCAGCAGGTGAAGGAGGTGTATATATGTATATATATATATACATACACACTTTATTATACTTATATAGTCTTATATACTATATCATACATTATAAACCTAACAAGATCTGGAGAACCATGGAAAGCCCAACCCCCCAAAAATACATCACGTGGGATTTAGACTGAGTCTCTTTTGCAGTCTGGAGGGCGCCATGAGATGCAGTCGGCGTGCGGAAAGACCTTCCTCTCCTCTTCGACTTCTGAACCTGGCGAGACCGGTGCCGTTCGAGACCATTTGAAGCGGGGGACGTCCATGGAGACATATTCCCATGGCATAGAATGGATGCCTTTTGCACAGTTGGAAGATCTATATAGGTCTTGGTCTGAAGTACACGGCCCTGGAACTGAAAAGACATGCGGACGGCGGACGGCGTTGTGATGGTGGACATTGAAAGTGATCAAGTCAAATTGATTCAAACCAAACCTCATCACCTGTCTCTGTCTTTCCAAGAAACGGCATATTTTTCAGCTTTTTCCCAGGCCCGAAGGGTCACCCAGCCAGGCCCGAAGGATCCAGCCAGGCCCGAAGGATCACCCAGTTTACGAGCCATGTATGTGGGGGGGCAACAACTCTTTCTGGAGAAAAGTGGGTGGATGAAACAGCAAGCTAGGCCTCCATCGGGCAGGCCCCAGGACCAGCCACCAGCAGCGGTTTTTTGCAGGGTCGTGAAGACGAGGTGTTCAGAGGACTATTTCATCAATGGTCTTACTACTGTGGGAGACCCAAAAGGAACTTCCCTTACTTGAGTGGGGCAATAATCATTAGTCTTCTTCCCACCAGGACCGTCCCAGTTCGGTGGTTTATTTTTGGACACCTCTCAACCTCTGAGGCTATTTATAGACACCTCTTGGAGGGTCCTGGTATACCGCAGATATTGACCTGAGAGACTTGATCCGACCATTGGAGGGTATTAAGGGATAGACACTTCTTTACATTGGACACCTCTCAAAAAGAAAGAACCTATTTAAGCTCTATAACTCTGAACCTTCAGTGTTATGAAACTGTTCTACATACCCCATATATTTATGATAGATGCGTTTCTGGTCTTGTCTTTGATTCACAGCGCCTCTGATTCAAGTCCTTTTCCTTCTTGTCCAGGCCTCCCTACCTTTTTTTGGGAGATGTCTGTTGAAAACGAACGGACTTACACGTGGACGTCCCTTCACGCGTCACCTGCGCCGCTGAAACGATCGGCGCGTCACCCGCTCGTCTCAAACGAGATGGACTGGTGATCGCAGATCTTCCAAGATGGTCGACGATAGAAGCCACGACGACGGAGCCACAACGGCAGTATCATCCGAGGTGTTCGAGCTGGGTTGGCGGGAACCGGAGGTTTTGGAAGCACTGTAGGTAGCTTGGGTGCGCTTGGGAATGAACACTGAAGCTGGTCATATAGGTGGATTCCAGGCTCGAATTTGCTTCGAGTCCCGGAGAAGGGGGCAGTCTTTGCGAAGGACGTCTGACACGATCCAAACCATTTTCCCACGAGGTTTCAAAGGGCCCTTTTGACGGCGAACGGGTCGATGTTAAAGCATCTCAAAAGTAAGTCTTGAAGGCGAACGGGTCCACGTGAAAGGCAATTTTTGAGATGGTCTTGAAGCCGAACGTGTCCATGTTAAAGCAATTTTAACAGAATTCCCTTTTGGCAAAGTGATGGAGGAGGGATCGGATGGAATCCTGGTTGAAGATTGGCGACAACCCTTTGGCAGAGCGGGGTGAAAAGCAAAGAAACTACAACCAGATACACATTGGTTTGTCCAACATGGCTTGCTGGAGATAGCATGACATCAGAAGTGGTTGGGACTGTGGAGCTCCATCCAGACTTGTTTCGTTGGCACTGGACTCGCAGGTTGCACTTGTTTTTGGTTTCTCGTCCATGAAAGACCGCGCTACTCTTTGAAACATGGAGTCATCGACCAATCGCCGGAAGGTTTGATGTTAACTTTTTGTAGCCTCTTCTTCAATTGGAGGAGGATGCATGACGTGTCACTCCACCCCTTTGATGAAACCCTCCTTGTTTCTACGTGGTTTGATGTGCTTTACCAACTGTCGAGGGTGGTGGTTCTTTTTTCCGCGCTCAAAATCGGTGCTCGTGGAAGAAAGGCTTCGTGCGTCCAGGGGATTTTTGCTGGTCGGCAACTAGTATATAACTAGATATAGGGTGTGTCCCATTGCCGGGCAAACCATGATCTCTTTTTCTCAGAGTGCCCCTTCAATGGCTATGTGTCCACTTGGCCTCCATATATGCTTACCACCTCAGTCTTCGTCTGTTTAAGCTGGCCGGGCTGGGCAGGTCCCTCACGGCAGACTAAAGGACCTGTTGGTTGCTGGTTGCTTTCAAGCCCACATGGTTTATTGGCAAGCGGTGCTGTCACTGGTAATGGGATATTCCATCCCAAGAAAGGCTCCGAGCGCCGCTTGCAAAATCCAGGTGCTGCGTGAGTTGTAGCCATCGTGCGTTTGGGTCGACTGGACTGTCGGTTCATATGGTGGGCTTCAAAGAAAGTGACAACCTACCAAGAGGTCATGAATTGAACCCGAAATTGAGGGATGTCATCTTTACATCCTCTAACAGGTCTCCTTGTTTGATGCTTATTGGGCCCAAAAAAGTCTCAATTGTGGACCTGTTGGTGGATGGTGGCATAGATAATCAATCATGGCCGTTTGTGGAGTGAACATGTTCATCCGGAGTTCCAGCACACCAGTTTTGTACCCCTCATCTTGTCATCGTGACGCTGTTGAGGCACTCGCGCCCGGTGTGGTGCGTCAAGACGTTGCCATCCATAGATATAGATAGTATATATTGGTGGAGTGATGTGGAGTGATGGTTTCCTATTTTTTGGATTTACTTATTTTTTCCCGGTTACAACCCACGAATACCCAGTAAGCCATGTTCCCTTTAAGGCTTCTTTATGGGGGGCACAACTTGTGAGTGTTGCTACATGGAGGGATCCCCCAAGAGCTCATGCCGAAGAGTTGATGGACTTCTTCGAAAGACCGTGCATGCGAGAAATCCCTGACATCAAGCAAGCATGGCGAAAGCAAACAGCATCCTGCGGCGAGACATCAGGAAGACGCCCACGCAACGCTCGACCTCGCCCACGCGAGACGGAAGCACGTTTTGGGTTGGTTAGACCGTTTTTTCTCGAGGAGGCCAAGTCTCGCATGGGAGGCCCGATTCTACCAAAGTCAGGCACGACGTGACGTCATTGTTTTGTTTTTTATTCATCTTCTCACGACCACAGAGGATCGACTCAAAGTAGGAAGGACCGCGTTGACCGAGGTCGCAGTTGTTCCGCGCCGCGCCGGCGCAATGGAACCGTCGGCCGAAGAACCGCGCGAATGGACGTTGAAGATCCACGCAGCGGTCGACGGTGGCTTGATTTGTGCCATTGCGGCGCAACCCACAGAGTCTTGGTGGTTTGTGCATGGTGGGTGCGGGTGCAAAACGAACCTGGACCCATAAAAAGTGAGGTGGAGCGCTGTGCTCGTCCATTTGTGTTTCAGGGCTTAGCCAAGGTGTTGGCACATGTGTTGTGTGCGTGATATTACCTAGCCGGCCTAGTCATCAAGGACCGTTTTCAGTCCATTTCAGTGGCGAGATCCCATGCAGATCAAGAAGCATCAAGAACCACACCTCTTGGTAGAGGATACGTGGTACACGGGGAGCGTCGGTTGACTGGGAGCGTCTCTTCCATGGCGTTGGAGGCACCGGGTTCAAGTGAGGGATGGCCCAAGTATTTTACGTCCAAGAAAGACATCCGGACGCTTACCAAGACTATAGGCCTATATATAGGCAATTGGTTCCTCATCAGACTGTCGACCTCTCATTTGGTGATGGAGAGCAGCGTTCACCAAAGGTCGCGACCACGCGGTTTCCACGCTCGCTCCGTGGACACAGAGTCCGATCCTTTTCGAGATCTCCAAGATTCTCCCGAGATTCTCCCATAAGTCGGTCTTCGACCTTGGGGCTCTAAGCGATCCTTGCGGTGTTCTTGAGCCCTATACAGACTCCCAAAGAGATAGAAACGTAGATCAGACCGGAAGACCGGTTTTCGTACCCCATCCGCCCTCCTCCGGCCGAAAAACGCCCGTGTGCACTCCTTCTCAAGGACACCGTGTGCGCCCTACGGCAGAAGCTGGCCCGACGGCTGGGCTTGCAGCGCCGCTTCCGATTGCTGGCCGGCTGCTGCGTGCTGGGCGGCCGCATGACCCTGGAGGACGTGGGTTTCGAAGGGTGCAGGTGCGGTTTCATGAGAAGTGAAGGAGAACGCCCATAAGTATCCATAAGTCTATTTCTGCATAAGTCTATTTCTGCATAAGTCTATTTCTGGATTTTTTTTCTGGTGCTTGACTCAGCACTGCCGCGCAGGAGGCGAGCTTGTGCGATGGATGCACCCTGCAGCTGGTGTGGCTTCAACATGGCCACTGCTTTGCGACCGCCTCCACCGACACCACGGCAGCGCTGTGGAGCGTGGAGACAGGCACGAAGCCATTCGGACTGCTCCATGACTCTTGATGAATCAACATCTCCTCGATTTGGGTTGTGAGATGTTGTGAGACCTCTTCAACATCCTCCATTTCATGTGAGCCGCTCTCTTCAATATGGGGCGGTTGATATATGACTTCACCGCGACTCGACAGAACTTCCCCCCCCCCAAAGCGCTGAATCGAGAGTTGCAGTCACGAAAGCGAGTGACAGGTGAGCGAGTGCAGCTTTTCGAAGGACATGAGGATCAAGTGATGTGGCTGTGCTTCTCAGCGGATGGCCAACTACTGGCCAGGGAGCCCAGGGACGGTGGTGATGGGTGGTGATGGGTGATGAGTGGTGATGGATGGGAGGACTAGGCACGTGGAGTGGTAGACTGATGGGACCCGAAGTCCATGGGGTAGGTTGGATGGAGATGACACTTGACTAGTGATGACCCGATGAGCAGGGCGAAGCCTATGGTGACCATGAAAGAAAACGGCCGATCAATGTACTGAACGGTCCTTCTTTGGGCTTTCTTTTTTCGGTTTGAAGGTCCTCCAGTGCAGGTCCATGAGGAATGCCACATATGTTCATACACCCTCCAGAGTTGCGTTAAGGAAAGAGCAAACATATCCAAAATGAACATTGCAGCCGGTTTGCAGACGGGAACCCCAAGCTGTGGGGAAGCATACCGATGCCCAGCACTCTCTCATGCCAGTGCCAGCACTCGGGGCGCCGTTCTTGGAGGACGTCGGGGTGCCCTTGTCACATCCACTGCTGGCACAGCAACAACCACCTGTCAGGAACTTTGGGAAAGACCACTATAATAAGGAACTTTGGGAAAAACCCACGTCCAACGTGTGTGTTTTCCTGTCGCACCTCCCAACCGGTCGCCACGTGGCTCCGGCCGTCTTCAACGACGTCTTCGCCGCTCCGGTCGTCCTCGTTCTGCCGCGGGTGCCGCGGAGGCCACCTCCTCGACGGACCGCACGGCGAAGGTCTGGTGCGCGGACAGCGGGGAGTGCCGCGGACGCCCAGATGGAGCGGTTTGGTGTGGGTTTCGGGTTGGGGGTTTGGAGCGTCGAGATTGTGAGGTGTTTTGGATTGTTTTGGGTGTGTGAGCAGGAGGGTAGGCAGAATCTCTGGAAATGACCTACCGTCCTACATCAGGACCTTCCAACAGGTGGTTTTTGGACACTCCTTAAGCTCTAAGAGGCTATTTAGACATCTCTTGGTGTCGGTCCTGGCAGTCATGGTTTGGGTCCCATCCAACCCAATTGCTCCATCCAGCTCCGGCTCCGGAGCCGAGGCTTGACTACCCTGCGTGGCCACAAGGGCCCTGTCTTCGCAGCGCGGGGGCCTGGTGCCACTCTGGTGAGTCTCGTGCAACGGAGGGAGGTCTTCAAGCCAAGCTTCAGGGAGGTCTTCTTTGGATACACCAGGATACACCAGCACCACGGAGTTTGGGTGAATGGAGTGACCCCGGGTTCGAACTGTATGGAACACATCCAATAGCCACCCCAAAACCACGGTGCTGGTATATGAAAAATGGATAAACATTGGATATATACATATGTTGGATTTTGATTTGGCCAACCCATCACCCATCGGTTCTTTGGCCACCACAGTTGCTGCCACCATCACGGTTCTTCGGCGCCCCCAGGTGGCTTTCTCCCCGAACGGCGCGTCGCTGGCGAGCTGCTCGCATGACCGGCGGAGTCCGCGCGCGCGCGCACGAGGAAGACCTGGACATGATGGTCACTTCCCTAGGGATCCACTCGTACCTTCTCAGAAGGTGCTTGGGTATTGGATCCCTACTGTGGGGCTTCCTGTGTTTGTTTCTAGATCTCTGCGCGGTCGATGGCAGAAAATCACTCGAAAGGGCAGAGATCACTTTAGGAGAATTGCAAATGATCACTCAACCAGTGGAAGGGAGGATGCAAAAATCATCAGAAATCCTTAGACCAGGATCATGCAAGAGGTGCCTATAAATAGCCTCTTAGAGGTTGAGAGGGGTCCAAACACCACTCGGTCCTGGGACGGTCCTGGGAGTGATAGACCCTCCACAAGTCCAAAGCATCCAAGAAATAGACGGATCTCCCAATCCGCAAGGCATTCATGGATTTTATTGGGGGGGGGCAAGGCATGGATTTGGAGTCTCGCAGAGCACGGGCACGGCCTCCAACGCGCGAACGACCCCTTATAATTACTTGCCACTCGTCGGTCCGTATAATATCATATCGAATCATGTATTTTTATACGTCCATTTGTCTTATAGGGACCGTCCGGGTCCGGCCGCCAATCCTGTCAGGACAAGCAGATCAAGGTCTGGGATCTCCAGGGCAACGAGCTGCTCACCCTCACAGGGTGCCGAGCGGAACCCGCGGAACCCGCTGTTAACGCCGCTGCTTTCGGTTCCGCGCAGCACCGGCACCGGGGGAGAGACCGGAGGGAATTTGACCCAAAGGAAGCAGCGGCGTGGCGTTTTTTGGGGGGGATCCCCCAAAGAGGGGATCCCAAAGTTGGAAGGGGCACCTTCTTGAAGTTTTGATCAGGTTCTGGTGCCGTGAGAAGTATGGAGGATCTGCCCGCATGAAGTATGCCGCACGAAACGCCCGGAGTGTCTTTGTTTTTGGATAGTAGGGGGTGCCTAAGACCCACTGGAGCTACTTGCGCCACCGCCACCTCACTCCTGGGCTTTTCGACCTGGTGACCACGGAACCCGCCGGATCTCCCCCACCGAACTCGCCGGCCCAGCGAACTCACCACGAGCATCTGCTAGGCACAGCAAGCAGATCTTCTCGGTCGCATGGACCCCCGACGGCCCGGGAGCCGACCGACGGTTTCCGGTTTCGACCTTCGACGGACCGGGAGAACGACGACCCACGGTGGGTCCAAAGTGGTGGTGGTTGGACGACTTTCGAATGCGGCCCTTTTTCGCCCCCCCCAAAGATCTCTGACACGTGGATGACACCTCTCAGACTCGTTTTCGGTGCCATTTCCAATGGTGCACCACACCCGTGAGAAAAACCATTGTGCACCGGAAGAAAACAAGCACGTCTCCCACGCCGGACGAACCGCACGTCTCCCCGCGCCGGACTACGGGAGAGACCAGCACCGCCTTATCGCCGCTGTTTTCATCCGCCACGATGCGGGCCTGGTGCAACAACGAATGGAAAAAAACCGTTCACGGTCATCAGGAGGCGCGCGGTTCAGCGCCTCCTTGTTCTTCATTTGGGGACTAAGCAGCCGCTGCTTTCGGCACCGTTCAAAAAGCCGCATCGGTTTGTGGAGGAAGCGTGCATGGAAACATGGTGCATGGCATGGCCAACGTCCGGTCCGTTCCAGCACGGAGTGGACCGGGTGGTTAGAACTGGATTGCATCCAGCAGTCTGGGTAGCCTCTCCAGTTCTGGGCGCATGCATTCCATTCTCACCATGAGACTTCCGGTTGCGGGGCTGAGACTTCCGGTTGTAGGACTGGGAAGAACCCCGTCATGCCGGTGATGCGCGGGTTGGGCGTCCACGTCCGCTGGCAGGTGAAACCTTAGCGTCCTCCTCCGATGACGCGACCATCAGGCCTAAGAGATGGAGTAGACAACGCAGAAACGCTTCGATGATTTTCCGTCCTCCCCAAATGGATGGGACATGGCAATGAGTGAACCCTTTTGGCGAAAGCCAACCTGGGAATATTCCATGGGAGGGGTAATTTTTTGGGGCGGGTTCCCTTTTAAAGGAACACACTCCAGCGCTTTCTGTCCGGCGCCTTTGGAGAAGATCCTTCCAGGATCACTGATTTGGAGCAGACACGGGACGGATTCACCCGCAAAAACCCATCCAAAACCAATCACTTTGGGAAGGGCGGGTGTGTTTTTGAGTGGCGGCATGAGATGGAGGGATCGGCCATGTTCGATGGTCTTCCCTAGATTCGACCGGTGGCCGGGCTTCGGCTTCACGTTTGAAAGTTGGCTGTCTGGAGACCAGGAACATCCTTTTCACCGTGGTGTTTGTCTGAGCCGATGTGGCCTGGCTTCTTGAACCGGCGTTCTCCGGACCTGAAAGCTCCCCGAAATCGCTCCATCACTTGTGGAACCTGCGCCAACCACCCGGGGTGCCGACCCAGCCCCTCGCGGTGCCGACCCAGCCAAGCCGGCGAGGCTCTGGCACGTGGCCTCGCAATCGTGCCACAAGGCGGCCCACGTTCTTTTATTTAAGGGAGGGGGAAAGAAGCCATGAACATGAAGGATCCGGGATGAAGCTACTTGTAGGGATTCTTTTCCTGGCATCGTTGAACATGTTTATAGGTTATATGATATATGGATATTTGTTTGGGGGCCTGAAACGGTGACACCGCAATTATTTTCATGTTGGCTCAAACGGCCGTGTCCTTCGATCACTTCGATCGCCCCGGGCAGACCAGGTCATTTATGGGCACACGGGTGCAGCGGCGGCTGGCATGTCTTGTCGCCACCAAGCGAGCGAGCGAGCGAGCGCGCCGACTCGTGCGAGCCGTTGGTCGCCGGAAGTCGAGCGAGCGACGTGAGGAAGCAGGTGGGGAACGATGAAGCGTGATCTTGTTCACACTCACACACCATACCCTAGAAGTCCAAAGACCACACCTTTCCTTAAAGTGAAGTAACGGAAGTTCTCTTTCAGGTCCCCATAAACGCGCTGCTTGTAGTCTTTGTCTTCCAGGCCACACCAGGTCTTCCTCCCAATGTCCATCTGGTCCATCTCGCGATGTCCATGACCTGCGTAACGGTCGACGCGTTTGGACCGGCCAGGTCTACTCGGTGTCCATCTCGAACGACTCCAGCCCCTAGGGCCAAACAGACCAGGGGCCGGGGAGGTTTAAGCAGCGGCCAGGAGTGGCAGAGATAGTATGTTAGAGTCTGGTGAGGAGTGTGGTGCCTCACGGTGTGAGCGAAACTGTAAACAGAAAAGACTGAGGCCCCAACTGCAGAATTTTGCTTCTTAGTTGAGAAAGATGCGGCCCAGAGCCATTTTACTGTTAAGCCAAGGATCTGGGCGGATCTAGGCTATTTTCGGCTTTTAGGCTACACGGTGGGGATTCTGAGCGTTTTTTTGAGCCGATGGGCCAAGCATGGCCAAGCCATAGAGGGCTGAGGGATGACCATTCTCGGATTTGTTTTTGCTAGTGGTTGGTTGAGTGGTTAGCTGGCTGGGTGGCTGGTTGGTTGGTTGGTTGGGCTGGCTGACTGGTTCGTTGGTTGGCTGGTTGGTTAATGGGAGGATACCCCTAGTTTCTGTACAGCCACTTACCAATCTGACCCCTTCTACTATGCGGATGGTGGCACATGGTGAGCGCGACATCTCAGATCTGTCTCAGGTAGACTGGTGAGCGCGAGCGAGGCTGGGTGGTGACTGTCTTTAGGCGAAATGGATTCATAGTTGGCTTTCTACTATTGGTTGGTTGGTTGATTAATAGAGGGGAGATCCCTGGTCTTGTACAACCGGTATATGGTACCAAACCGACCCCTCTATGATTCCAAAGTACGGACATCATTGGAATGGATTACATTGGATGTTAGCAGATGGTTGTGGAGCCGAGAAGCATGGACATCGAGAGGTTGATCTTGAGGGATCTTGAGGGATATGGACTTTTCTGGCTATGGACACGAGGGTTTTCACTCGGGATGTAGTCATTGCCTTGATGTTTTTCCCGACGTGGGAGCCATGGCTTCATTCTCCTACTCGTACCAGTGACATTGACATTTTCCCTTCTACATCAGGGTCCCAAAGAAACCAATGCAATCTCTAGGGTGTGTCCCATGACCAGTAAGAGTTAATAAAACAATTTTTAAGAAACGCCTCTAGTAACCATCACCATCCAAGGGGGCAATCTCTTCTGAACATGTATCTTCCAATCCCCTACAGCTCAGGTGGCAGTGGGTCATCCATCTCCTCTTGTAACAAGTACCAGCACCTGACTCTACAGGTCACCACCTGCGACTTTCAAGTCAGCAAAAGCCTCCATGTCGGAGACCTGTAGAGTCAGGTGCTGGTACTCATACTGGACATGGTTTTTCTTCGAGTCCTCAGAGCTCTAGGCTCTATGACGTCCGGTGTTGGGCCCTCCTGCCGAGAGCGGCTCCGTTGGCCCCCCATCACCGGCCCGGCATGGCCAGAGATGGCAGGATCAACCAGAACCAGGGCATCCAGTTACCTCTAGACCTAGAAGCCCTGGTTCCTTATATAGTGGGCCAGGGCCCCGTCTCGACCACCCAGGGCCCCGTCTCAAGAAGAGCTTCCAAACCTTGGTGATTTAGACAGTGGAGGTCTCAACCACCCAACTGTCGTGGGGGTGCAGAAGTGAAGCATGAGTTTCTGATAGCCTTCATGATTAGAATCTACAGCCACCCAGCCGTTCCAAGACCAAAACGAAGTCAAGACCAACTGCCCCTCCCTGCAACACGTTGAACCTGGTTTCCCTTGGGGCGCAGGATTGCACCGCAAAGATCTGGTGCCCGGTCCTGAGAGAAAAGAGACGGAGCGAACACCGTGGAGCGCCGTGAACCGTGCTGTGTGCTGTAAAGCTCATGGGAAATCCCAACGGGAGTAAACAATAAAGAAGACCATGGATTCAATAAGCAACTAATTCGTTGGGATAATTGTGAAGACCATGGAAAAACCACAACTGAAAAACGGGGATGCACGAAATGCACCCATTGGGGGTGGAATGTGGGTTCCAGTGGGTTCCAGCTTGGCCATGATTCAGATTCATTGCAGAGAACAAGTGCCGAAGTGATCCGTGATGTTGCTTCAAGGCTTCCTCAGAATGAGTGTCTCGCATGGAGTCCCTACTGCTCTAGAAACGTCTCACCTGACCATCATCATCATCATCATCTTCTTCTTCTTCATCTTCTTCTTCATCATCTTCATCTTCATCTTCATCTTCATCTTCTTCTTCATCATCTTCATCTTCATCTTCATCTTCATCTTCATCATCATCATCATCATCATCATCATCATCTTCTTCTTCTTCGAGCTCGCGAAGTGCCCCCCCTTTTTGCATCTCTTTTCCTCCCCAGAACGGTCCGACCACCGGACCGGTTCGATCCCGCGAGGCTTGGACTCCGAGGACGGTGCTCCGGAGCTGAGCTTCGTGCACGAGGCGGGCTGAGGTGCCAGGGGAAGGGAGCTGAGCAGCCCAGGAAAGGGTGGTGATATATGGGAGTTGATCTAAAAAGGGGCGTGTAAGGATGTGTTGATCTATGGGGTTGGCGACCAAAAGGATTTCTTCAAACATGCCTAGGGAGGTTTCTAAAGGGGGGCAGTAGTGTTTGGTTGGATGGTCCACGGATATCCGCAATATTCCACAGGTACATGAACATCAAATGCTTGTTTCGTTTCGACTGACATCGTTCTGGCCGGTTCCCAGACCCCTGGGGTCAGCTTCCTTGTGGAGTGGTTGAAACAGGGCCAAGAAAGATGCAGTCATCCTCGTAGATGGCAAAAGGCAGCATCAAACAGGAACTTTGTAGCCCTAGCCTTCCAAGACCATTCAAAAAAGCAAGTTGACAACTCCTCTCAGTCAAACAATGTTTTTTGGATTCAGGCTATTAGATCAATGATGGTTGGAAGCCTAGCAGTAGGCTTTTGTTTTTGAGTCATGCCCCTCCACCTTTGAGCCCACCAGTGGTTGGGTCGACAGGAGTGGGTGAGACATGCCCTCTTCTCACCAGATGGCCTGAAGGTGCGCTGGGGGATGGGGAGGGGGACGATGGGCTCTGCGGCCCAGACATCATCTGAGCAAACTCCCGAGAAGAAACAGATACTTTTTCTGCAGGAATGCATGTAGGAAAGACATTCAGATGCAGGCTGAGTGTTTGAAGAATGCATTATAGTGTGCCGTCGCGATTCTTTTGTTGCCTCCTTGACACACTAAAGATTTTTTGTTGCAGCTAAAGCCGTTACAGCCGTTACAGCTAAAGCCTTGATTTTCCAAATATGTCCAGCCGATCAGTTATTGACAATGGGGTGCTGCAGGGAGCGCTGCCAATTTTGGGGGGCCAATCGTCGAGGCGGGGTGAAGGCCCATGCTGCTATGGGCATCTAGATCAAAGATGTTGTTCTTTAATCATGCGATCAGATGCTACTATGGATATGCTATTCTCATTGTTGTTTATTGAAATCCCTAACCCCTTTTTGGATTCCCGCTCTTCCTCATGTTTGTTTCAATCTTTGCCTCCCAAAATTCAGCGCCCGGCCGCTCGACTCCTCCTCGCACCGCTCGACTTGTCCGGCGGAGAAGCTCTCGTGGAGCGACTCCCGCTGCGATTCAGGTCATCACGTCGGTGAGTGATAACACGGCCATGCTTTGGGATGCGCTGAGCGGGACGTGAGCCCGGCGCGGTTGATGTGGGGAGGGTTGGCCGAGAAAACGATGGCCTGGGGTTTGAAGCGGGAGATCCAAGCGACATGGGATGGCCTGGGTGGCACGGGCCGCAGGGGTAGTGTTCTTTGTTCCCCATGAGCGATCTCAAGCCGGCTTGTGTCATGATTTTTCATTTGGAGAGTAGAGAACAAATGTAACCCATGTGATCATGCGTTGTCGGCTGGCAGCACAAGGAATCCATCGTGACGATCCACGTGGTTGTTCGATCCCTCGTCGAGGGAACCCCTGCAGGTGTCCATTAACCTCTAAGGAGCTATCAATAGAACCCCCTTAGGGTGTCCTGGTAGATTGCTCAAAACTTCTATTTTTTTCCGGTGGGAGTTTGCACTTGACTTGGCTGGTGGCGATGTGCCCTTCGCTGTGAATGTTCCATGGCAGGCCACTGCTGAGCTTCCAAGGGCACAATGACTGGATCAGCCGGGCGCCCGGTTCGATGCGCTTCGGTGGCCCTCCGCCTCGGTCGCCTGGGGACGACGTGGCCGGGCGCTGTGGACGTTGCTCGAAGAAACGCCCCATGGCGACCCCATGGCGACCCCGCAGAGGGGGGGGCATCCATCGACCGGAATACGAAGATCAGTAGCCCACTGCCTCGAAAGCTCGCCCAGGAAACGCCTCCTTCTCCTCCGATGGGCTCTTCGTGCGAGCGCCTAGTGGCTTTGACGAGTCCCTTAAGGGTCCGTCCCTTCGTTCATGGCCGCCAGTCGGTGGCTGTGGGCCTGACCCGTTGCCCTGGTTTCACGCAGTCGGTTGACCTGTTCACCAGGAGTCACAAGACGGGGTGCCGAACTTGGAGGATAGGGTGCCCATGATCCACGGCCCCTGGATGGGACTAAACACCACCCTGTCTTGTGACTCCTGGCAGTGGATTTTCTTCGGTCAACCAAGGATTCCCCGGTGCCATGACCCATCGGTGTCGTTGGTCAACAAGTAGCGGTATGAAGCGCGCGCAGAGGTACTGATCCTGCATGGTAGCATAGCATCCCGCTATGGTAAGCATGACAGTTGGAAGACCAAGACTTGGAACTCTTGGAAGATGAAGATGGCCAAGATTGCATGGTTTCCTCTGACATTCTCGATTTTGTCGATTCTTTAACGCACTCTTTCTCGGGCTTCTGAATTCACCATTTTTCCACCTTTAAAGAAGTTAAAGATCAGATACGTCGACTCATCGACCGATCTACGAACAGAGAACGGAACCTCTGACGCGCCCACCAACCCAACAGCCCACCCCATTCTGATGCGATGAACTGAACCCATTCCTTTCCAACACATCCAATCCGACACCGGAAAAAAAAAACAAAAACATGAAACATCCATGGAAAAAACACGTCCTTTCAACCTGTCACCAACCGCCATTCTATATATGTTTTTTTTTGGGTTGTCGGGTTGTCCGTGTCGACAGGTCGCAACAGCCTCAAAGGATGCCTGCGCGAAGGTGTGGCGCCTGGATGGCCCCTCGGCGAGGTCGTCAGAGGTGGACGCATGAGTCACCACAGAGGTCACCGGTGTTTCTTTTTCTTTTTTTGAGATTATTTCTGTGCCCCCCCCCAGAAAGTGAGGGGTACGAAAAGCTTTGAATCTTCTAATGCTTGGGAGATTCGAAGGGGCCAAACTGGTGGAGACCTTCATCGACGATCCTAAGAAACGCCGACTCCACCCCTTTCGCACACCTTTCGGCCCGGTCCCGGGGGGGCTGAGGAGTTGGACGTCGTTTCTTTCAGAAAACCAACACACCCCGGCCCCCCTTCTGCCGAAGGGGCCGAAGGGGTGAATTTATGCTCCGTATTGTTCCCTTATGAGGTTACAGGAGGTGCTTCGGGGTGTCCATTCACCGACCAATTGCTATTCTTTTTTCCAATATGTTGGAACCGGAAGCTCTATGTGTCCTTGATTTGAGCATCAACCATTGCTTCAACTCAATTGTTCAATGATTTTGGACCAGGAGCTGTTGTGTAATCGCAGCATGATCAGCATGTTCAATCTTGTGAGGGCCGTTTAAACATCCAGGCTAAATCAGGCTGGTCTGAATCCAAGTAAGAACGCAGATGGAGAGTGAATTGGACTCCAAATTACACCAAACCTGGCTCAGCCAGGCCTCTTCAGCAACCAAACCGTGGCACCCCCAGGTGAGTGCATCATGAGTGTCACGGCGCACAACCAGTGGGCTCGGTTGGCCCAGTGTCACGGACCGGACGTCACCACGGGCCGCGGGATCAACGCCCCACGCTGGGCGTCACCCACGCACGCGTCCCGGGCGCCTTGACCCACGCACGCTTTCCTTGGGGTTTGAAACCAAGGAATTCACGGAGAATGATTCAGTTTCGATGTTCGAACGCAAGCAATTCGTCCATTCAAAATCATTTAAAGAGCCGGTCACGAGGTCCTATTTCCGGCAGGCGAAATGAGGGGGCACAAACACACCGGGGGCCCTGGTTGCCCTGGTTTATAGCAGCCCTTTGCTTGTAGCAATTTGCAGTTTCAAGGGAAGCCTTGCGAAGGCTTGATGTCTACACTGCTGAGCGCAGTAGTAATTCAATGTAATTCAGTACATACAGTAGTAATACATCTGATTTCTTTCACGTCACACACTGGCGTCGTTTCGGGATGCTGGTCTCCAGAAACCACGCCAGAAGCTGATCATGGAAATGACTGGGGTGGGTGTTGGTCATTTCTACGAAAACTTTGACAGTTGGATTATTGAGGACATTGGGAATTCCGTGCCAGTACCTTTTCAAGTACGATCCAACTCAGAACATACAAGAAGGAACACATTCAATCAAGTTCCCACACACATATCAAACTTATTCCAACCTTATTTAAGAACATCCAGGAAGCAAACCAATTTCTAAGACACAGACACACACACACACACACCCACACACCCACATGTCACACACATGTCACACACACATGTCACACACACATGTCACACACACACACACACACACGAGCGTCACACTTCGAACTTGGGTTTTCAGTTAGACTCAATTGCCACGATGGGAAGTAAGGTGAGGGAACGGAAAGGTGCATAGGTCGGCAAAACAGTATGGTTTAAAATTGGTTTCAAAAAGGCCTCGAAGTCGATCTGTACATTCGGTGCGGTGACGAGCGCAGCTGCAGGAAAGTGGGTTTAGGGGAGGAAACGTGAAGGACCATGGAAACAAACCGATCAAAGTGGACAGCTTGTTCAAAAGTTCATTTGGCAGGTACGTGACTCCAGCGTCCCGGAGTCATATCACATCCGATCAGCAGTGTCTTTGTTAGGCAGTGATTGCTGAAAGGACCACTGCCCCCCTGCTTCAGTGGAACAAAGAGGTGGGAACATGGAAAGCCCTTAGAACCAGGGTGTGACACACACACACATGTCACACATACAATGTCATGCACACATATGTCACACAAAGTCACCTTCGTCTTTGTTCTAAACAACCAATCTCATTCTTCCTGGATCTTCCGGTTGGGTGCTCAGTCTGGGACTTCCACCCGTGCCCCGTGGGCTTGTCTCACCAAACGGAGACCCCGTGGCGTGGCTCCCGGAGGTGCGCTGCGTGGCCTTCGCGCCGGCGGACCTGGCTGTCTCTGCGCGTGGAGACGAGGGATGGTCAGACGGGTGGGCGATTTTTAGGCCTCAAGTGACCCAAACCTTCATCCAAACCTTCCAGGCCTCAAGTGATCCAGTTTTTCTCAGAAAGACGTAAGGTACATAAGGAACAACCCACCTTTTTCCAACCAACCAAACCAGCACCCGCCGAAGCCACCCAGTGCCCTAAGACCACTGGGATGGCCGTGCCGCTTTAACGGCTCGCCGTTCCACTCGGAAGCAACGGCGAGCCGAAACCCGCCCGGGGGGGTTACTACTAGCAAGGCACCTGTTACTACTAGCGTGGCACTTGTTCCTAGTAGCTTCTTGCTACTACTAGTAAGGGATCTGTTACTACTAGCGTGGCACTTGTTCCTAGTAGCTTCTTGTTACTA